TAAGTGCATTACCAGCTCCCACTGTGCCCCAGCCCCCTGCAAGGTCTCCCGTGGGTGCACAGGGCTGCACCACCAAGGAGGGGGCAAGAGAAGCTGGGGGGGGACTGTGTCCCACTTGCACCAAGATCGCTGCAGCTCAGTCGCTCCCTGGTTTCCTGGTGAAAGTGGGATGCAAGAATATCTGGGGAGGGGGTCAGCCATCAGCACGGGGAGGGCCGATAGATACCAGCCAGGCTATTTCCTCCTCCAACCCCTTCAAACACACTCCATGGCCAGAGTCACACCGAAACTAATGTCAGAAACAGCTAAACACGTCAAAAGCAGGTGCTTTCCCCTCCTCCCAGGAAGGATTTCCTTGCTGCTGAGAGCATCCAGGCCCACCCCACGGCTTAGTCAATGTCACTGAAGTCCATGAAGAACACCTCGTGGCCGTAACTCGAGTAGTGCAAGTGCGTCGCGATCAGGGCCAGGGTGAGAGACCATTCAAGCACGCAGGGCTCCTCGTCCTCATCAGAACTCTCCGAGGGAGAAGGGCTAGGCTCCTACAACACAGGAGAGAGGATGAGCCCCAGCCCTGAGCCCCGTTGCATGGCCATACAGTGCCCCGGATGTGCCACCCCACTTACAACGGGCACCCTCGGCTGCTGCCGTTGAGGTCGTGGCAGCCGGCCAGCGGGCAGCTCGTGCAGGTAGATGCAGTCTGACTTGAATGGGCAGTGGCCCCAGCTCCGGACAAAGAACTTGCACCTGATTTTCCTATAGGATTCAAAGCACAGTTTTGAGTGCAGGCCCCGGAGTAGCACAGAGCCCACAGCCCACGGTGCCACACGCCTACCTCGTCCGTGCCTTGAAGGTTTCGATGAGCTTCTCCTTCTCAGCTGCGTCCGAGACCCAGTATTTGTGGGGGATGTAGTAACTGGAAGAGATCCGGCACTCCGGGCAGGCCCTGGATGAAGGCCATGGGTGCAAGTGAATCTCCCGTAAAGGAATCGGGGAGCTCACCACCCATGCTGGGTGGTCTCACTGCCATCGCCTCATCCAGCATCCCCATCCCATCACACCTCCAAAGTGCCTGTTCCCAAAGGGAAGTCGTTCCAATCCCAAAGCCACACCACCAGACGCAAGGAAGGATTTCAGGGTGGCAGTGACCACGCTGCCATGTCCCCATCCCCACTCACTTGATGACAGCGCTCTGGAAGTCCCGGCTGCGACGCCACTTGCGGATGCAGCCCACGCAGAACACGTGGCTGCAGTTTGGGAGGATCCCAAAGAGCCGCTCCTCCGGCAACGGCTTCTCATACACCCGGTCCATACAGATGCCACACACCATGGCCTCGCTCCGGGCCTTCAGCGCTGCAGTGGAGACCGGGGCTGCCGCAGCATCCAGCTCTGCAGGGACCTGCAAGCAGAGCGGCACGGCATTGCACCCCCCCGGCTGGCCCAGCCTCCAGGACCAACGTGGGGTGACAGGCGCTGCCCCCAGCTGCAGGAGACCCCCAGGCCCACCTCTGCAGGCTCACTCCACGTTGCCGTCTGCGCTGTCGCCTCCGTGGGGTTGGTGGAATTGGGATCCATTCCCAGCTCTGGCAGCTGGGAGCCTGCAAGCAAGTGAGCTCTTAGAGGGAAACAGCACATCCCACCCCTCTTTAGGCAGGCTGGCTGCCCTGAGGGCACAGGCTTAGCAGTTCAGGTCCCCACCGTAATAAAGCTGCTGGAGGAGTTTTTCACAGCCCCATCGGGCCCTGCCCAGAGATGGAGGGAGGAGGATTTGGGTCCAGGGCATGGTGACCACCCCCGTATCCTTCAGACCCTCTGATCCCCAGACACCCCAGACCTACCTGAGGCATCCTGAGCTTGCGTACGGACAAATTCTCCACCAGTGGCCCCACGGGGGACATTGTCTGGTGCTGGGATGTTCTCCTCGTCTTTCTCTTCCTCCTCAGCCTCCACGTTTGGGAACTTGAAGGCCACACGTGGCGTGTCGGGGACAGGACGGGCTGCGCTGTGCCGGGCTCCCCCCC